GACTCCAGCCTCTTCCACAGACTTCCTCTGTTTTCAGGGAAGTCATTAAACCCCTCAGTCTGTTAGAGTCCCATCTGCAAGACAAGGAGGATTTAATGCTTTTCCCTCATCTGAATCTCAACATCTTTTTGTGGTTATAGGGCACCAAATGAGGCTTCAGTATTAGTTGGAGCTCTGGGGGTTTACCAATAAAAAGTTAATAATAACCAGCCATATTTCATAGAATCATAGAATGCTTTGGGTTGGAAGGGACCTTTCAGATAAAATGTGATTTGCAGTTTAATATGCTAAGTAACAAAGACTTTACCAAGAGAATGAACAATAGCCTTTTCCATTTTACAAAATCATTTGCCAGGCATAATAAGTGCACCAGCGTTTTTATAAAAACAAATTATAAATAATTGCTTTTTGCAATTTAATACACACATAGAAAAAGCCAAAAGAGCTCAGCAGCTACCAGGAATCTGATTTCATTGTCAATTTGGACTGTCTCTGCAGTTTTATGAAAATCCCTGAAGACTGTGCTATTTTGTAAACTAAACATGGCTGCTTTTTTTTCCTTTTTTTGCTGGCCATGTGGAGTCTTTTTCCATTCATTAGCGAGCTGCTTTTTTCATGGACACAATTAGACAAAGGAATAAATCAGTCAACAAACTTGGGATATAATTTTGGCAATACCAGGCCATCCATGCTCTTATTTGCTTAACTGTGTAAATCTTTCACCAGAATACAAATGAGGCCTGTTCCCTTGGTCTTGGGGTTGGGGAAAGAGGGGGATCAGGCCAGATCCTGCAGATTTGATGGCTCCCACCCACCATGCCTGGTGTTGAGCAGTTTTCCTCATTACAGCCATTCAGCATTCCCACTATTGAGGAATTGCTTCAAGATAATTCTTCCATTTCCTTTCTCATGTTACAGAGTTGAAGAAACATGCCCAGGACAATGGCTCCCTGAGGACTGGGTCTCTGTGAAGGGTTGTTGTGTCCCTCCATGTCTGAATGTCTGCCTGCCTCACTGTTTTTGGTTGGTGCCCTCTCTGGCTCTTCCGGAGAGAGGAAGGGTTTTCCCTGCTGCTCCTTGGGCAGGGAGACGAGGTGTGGGCAGGGAGATGAGGTGTGTTCATAATGCTCCAACTTGCACCTCCTGTCTCTCCTGGCACCTTAGTACACAGCACACAGAGATGCTGTTTCTCTTTGCAAGGAGAAATGAAAGTTTTGCTGACAGCAAGAGGCAGTGATTCCCTCCCTGGCATTCCCAGCCAGCTGTCATGCTTGCCATGGGTGTGCATGCACACCCACAAGGGCAAGGATTTGTGACTGATCTGTGTTGGAGCAGGATTTGCTTCATCCCATCTCTGATTTTTTGTGTAGCTGAAGACACTGGCCAGTTCAAATTCATAGAGGATTGAGGCCCAAGAGATGCCCTTCATTGCAGGGCATTATATATGCATTTTCATGTCTCTTCAAGGCTCATTTGGGGCTGAAAACTTGGTTTGACCCCGCCCAGGGTACCTCATGTTCCTCCAGATCATATTAGCTTCCTCTGTGGAACAAAAAACAAGTTCAGAGAAGGATTAAAGATTTATTTACCCCCAGTTCATTGTTTTCCAACCAATATTTTCAACTTCTGGTACTGATGCGGGTGGATTTCCCTTCCCTATGCATGTGCTAGCCTTGCTTCCCATTCCAGCAATTTAAGAAAAATTTCTGCCCAAGTAACATAAATAGTGAGCCTTTATGATTTTTCAAAAGATGTTCTCAGGTTTCCTGCTCTATTTTTTTCAGAGATCAGATAAATTCAGATAAATAGCCCCCAGGAAAGACACACCAGGACGGCAACTATAAATACTCCAAAATTGCTGAGAATAAGTGTCAAGGCTTAATGCATAGCTAATGGACTAATCTGCAATTTTACCACAAGATATTTATCTCCTTGCTCATTTTCATGGTAGTCTCCCTGAAATATATGTCTATTCAAAGTTTATTTATCCTACCCAAGAAAACTCATTTCCTCTTCATAACCTGTTCCTCCCCAGTTTTAAAATTAATTTTGTTTTCCAAAGATAGCTTGTCAGTGACCGAGTGCTACCCATGGTGTAGTCTATAATTGAGCCAGAAGGAGCCTTTAGATAACAGTGCAGTGCCAGCTTATGCCATCTGTCATTAGTGGTGCATTATCACTGCAGGTATAAATGAGCTGGCCCCGAGCTGCATGGCTGCAAACGTGGTGTTCAGTGGAGCATAGCTGGGAACAGGGTTAATCTCTACCATACTTAGGCTCCTGCAGACATTTTCAGTCAGGTTTCTCGCTCAGGGGAGAAGGAGAATTTGTCTTGTGGCAATTACAGTGGCTGTATTCCCATCAGTGCTCCTGCTGCTACATTTAGCCCTCAGGCCAATGGATTCATGGGGCAAGACTCTAAAAATCAGTCATGGAGAGTCAGGAAAATCCAAGTGCCTGTGCAGAAAACCTCGCAAGAGGATACTGAGATGGTTTGGGGCTGCCAACATCTTGGCCAGGTTTGGAGAATACAGCTCATCCCTGCAGCCCTGCGGCCAGGGCAGCGTGGACATAAGCTGGCCATTGGCTTGTAAAGATGGCTTAAAACTGCCACCTTTGTGCTGTGTGGGTCAAAGTGCTGAGATGGGAGAGAAATGATCCTGCCCAAGGACACGACTGCTAGAAGAGGATCACCAAGCTGGGCCCTGGGCATTTTCTTACTTGCAGCCTGATCCAAGGAGCAGTCTTGGGTGCTAAACCATCCAAGGGTGGGAGTGTACAGGAACTGATGATCACAGCTTATTCTCTATGGACACCTCCACACCAGGCACCAAGTTTAGCTTCCTGCTTTTCAGAACTGTGCCTTTAGCCCCAGAGGCTGGGAATTAAACTCTGTGGTTTTTTACTCCACTTCCCTTGTCAATGCCAGTAAAAAGAAGCCAAATCCAAGGGAGAGCATGTGTCTGGCTAGCTGTCTGCACTGCATGCTCCTGTCTGGTGGAGAGTGGCTGCATCTGCAAGCCTTTGCTGCCCTGGTTGCCTTGCTGGGATCTGTTTTCAGTTGCTGCTGAGACAAACTCACCAGTCAAATTATTGATGCTTTCCAAGTCCAGGGCAGCAAGGTTTCCTGTAAGCACAATTGTGCATTGCATTTGCATGAGTCGCTTTTTGGTTGTCTCAAAACCTCCATAAACAGAATTCTGTCATTAATTTGACTCTTCTATTCAATGGTAATTTGTACATTGTGCCTATCCAGCACAAGCCAGGGACTGATGATGTTGGTACTGTGCTGAAGGACCTTCCAAGTGCAGGCAAATCCATTGTTTTGCTCTGAGATGAACCAAATGTTGAGCACTGATGTTTTGCTGGGTTGGGATGCATGCTGGGTAATCATCCTTCCTCAGTAAAAAATCCAAATTCTGGATTCAAATTCTTGTGAGTTGGATCTGCTTGAGTGCTGGCATTGCTGTAGGAAAGTCATTTTTAAAGGTGTTTTTTTCACTCATGCTCTGAGTTTGTGCAGGGTTGTTTCTGTGCAATCTCCAGTGATATGGTACCCAACCCTGATGAAAGATTTAACCTTTGGACTTCCCCCTCCTTTGCCAGGACGTGGAGCCTGGCAGCCTTCAGCAAACCCCAGGGCTTGGTGGTGACATGTTGAACAAAAAGGTGTGCCCAGAGATCTCACAGGTCACCCTCCCTAGGCTTGGCTGGAATCCCAGAGCTCTGACAGCCCCTCCAGAGCCAAGCCAGCAGACATCTGTGTGTGTCCCTGTGCTGATGTGTCAGAGTCTGCCTTGGTGGTGAGTCCAGACTGTTTCTGAGCTGAGGTGTTACTAAGTTAGAGGGACTGGGCGACATGGTCAAGCTGCAGCACAAGAAATTCACATTGGACAGTAGGAAAAATTTCTTTCCCACATACTTAGAGAAGGAGCAAATCTCTTTTCTTTGAGATCTTCAAAGCTTGCCTAGAGAAAGCCACAGCTGAACCAAAGTGTTCCAGCAGCAGGGTGGATGAGCTCTCCAGCTCTCTTCCTTCTAAAAGTCCTATAATTCTGCAAAGTCAGAGCATTGGAATCTCTGCCTTCTTTTTCTCTTCAAAAGAAAGATAATCCTCAATCAGACTTCCAGGCTTCAACGAGTAAGAAAACAAACAAATAAACCCCCAAGCAAATAAGCAAGCAGACAAACAAATAAAAACCCTAAATAAACAAGCAAGCAAACAAAACCCCCAAAGGCCAGAGTCTTATTTATTTCATTTCCCAGTTGGCAATCAGCCTCATGATTTGTGTGGGTTTAATACTATTTTTTTTAATGGTTTTGACATTGGCTGGTAATCTGTAGTTTGATTGGAGTCACATGTGAACATTTGCTAGCTCAGAATTACTATAAATTTGCAGCACCTGGAAAGGAAGGAAAATGGCTTAGGAAAAGGTGATGAGAGAGGCTCTGACTACATGCAAGAGTTGTCTTTGTTCCAGAATCTGTATAAACCTACTGGACTTGGAAATAGCTATTCTGCTGTAAGCTTCACTTGCAACCTCCAAAAATAAAAGCAAAGTGCCTTTTATGAAGAATTAAAACAGTCATCTCTCCTGAGCCACCAGAGGCAGTAAGAGTGAAGGAAGTGAAGCAGTTAAAAGAGTTGAAGAGCTTATCACATGCTCTTGTTTGGGGCAATGTTCACTTTCACTTCACTGGGATACTCCAGCTGATTTTTGTTGTGATGGCGCTTGGGGCAGCGAGCCCACAAGGCTGAAGAACCAGATCTGTGGATTGATGCACAGTTACCTTTGATCCTGCCTAGCAAGCAAGCAAAGGGGAGAGGAAAAAAAGGAAGAAAGAAACATTAAATCCGTGGCATGCTGGCTCAGCACCTCTCACTGTAAGCTTTGAACTGTGCACACAATTTGTGCCCCTTATCTACGCTTCACATTCGCAGCTAGCGAGTGCCTCCGTGTCATTTCCCAGCCCGTCCTGCAACAAGGCATTCTGTGAGCACCATGAATGCAAAAACCAGCTCTGCAGGTGAGGAAGAAGCCTCAGGAATGAGCAATGAGACCCTGGGAGAGGCCAAAAGGCGGCAAGTGATCCGTGTTGCCTACGTGATTGCAGCCCTAGACCTGACCTTTCTCTTCATGCAGTTTGGACTCATGCCTGTGAGTATGGGTTCTCTTGCTCCACAGCATTTCCTTCAGTGCAGGGCTCTGTGGTTTTCCAGCAAAGCCAGAGGATAGTTTTTAGCAGGAAAGAGGAAAGGTATCCTTGAAACTGAAAGGAATACTTGGTATTCTTACCAAAGAGGCAGGCTGTGTCTCTGTCCAGGGTACAGCTGATAAAAGCTGATTTATTACTTGGGCTGCAGTAGCACCCAGAGCCCTTTCCTGGGTGAAGCTGATGCAGTTTGTGTCTTCTGGCATGGAGTGTGAGAGTGACTCATCCAGCAGCTATCAGGAGGCAGAGGTTTCAGATCAAAGGTGGGGTTTTCTGAGTGTGTAATTAACCAGCTCAGTAGGATTCATTGCTTCTCACTTACTGGACTCTTCTGTCTGATTTTATAGAATCAGTGAGGACTTCTGGTTGAAAAATACCCTTGAGGTCATTGAGTCCAATCAGAAACCTAACAGTGCCAAGTCCACCACCAAACTGTGTCCCTGAGTGCCACATCTACACGTTTTTGAGATACCTTCAGCGATGGTGATTCCACCACTTCCCTGAGCACTCTGTTCCAGTGCTTGACAAGCCTCTCAGGGCAGAAATGTTTTGCAATATCCAATCAAAACCCTCCCTGGCACAACTTGAGGTCATTTCCTCTTGTCCTATTGCTAGTTATTTGTGAACAGAGACTGACCCCAGCTGGCTACCAATCCCTTTCAGGCAGTTGTGGAGAGAGATGAGGTCTCCCTGCACCTCCAGGCAAAACAAAAGCATGACACAACAAAAACATGAATCAGAAATAACTGCCCATTGGCCCTTCAAGGTGTGCATCTGTGTTTTTTGCAAGCTCAGGCTGTGGGTGTACCATCTAGTAAAGGCAATATTTGCTCATGTTGTACTTTCATTGATTCTGCTTGATTAAACAACAGCTCCAGAACTTTTCCGTAGTTATCTCCCAGAGGGTGGATGGGCTGTTCCAGGTGCAGGGTCTGGAGGCAGAAGGGCATTTAAAACTTCCCTTATCCCCCTTAGCAGTTGCTGAATATGTTCAGCTGTGTGGAGCTGCAAAGGTAAATGGTGATACAAATGTGCCAGCAAAATTGATGGGTTTGATCACACGTCCCTGCCCTTCAGGGTGTGGGACAGAGACATTTGGTCTTTATTAAGCTGCCAGTGTCTGGCCAATGAATATTTTCTTTGTAGGGGTGGGGAGCTGAAGGAAGTGGTTGTTAGGAGCTATGATCCTCTCCACACAGATATTAAGATGTTTATTCATAAACGTAGCTTGCTTCTTTTCAATTTATTTGTTTTTTGTGGGTTTTTTTGGTTGGTTTTTTTTTTTTTTTTTTTTCATTTTTAGTACTTGGCAAAGAGCCTAGGTTTGGATTCAGTGGGGTTTGGCTATCTCCAGACCATCTTTGGTGTCCTCCAGCTCATGGGAGGTTACATTTTTGGAAGGTAAGTGACAATGATTCTCATGACCCTTTACATAGCTGAAAAAGGCCAGGCATTTTTTATACTTTCATAAAAATAACTTCATTCTGGTTTGTGGTCCTGTTGAAATGTTTGAGGATTTCATAATGAGCAAGGGGAAAATAAATGCTATTATTAGAAAATACTGCAGCATAGAAGCAGCCTTTATATTAACTTAGCTACATTTTAATGACACACATTTAAGTGTAACAATATCCTGGGAATGGGCTTAAACCACCAGAATCCTCAGAGCCCAGGTCCTAACAGCTTAATTCTGAAAATGTTTTATAGCCATGTATAACCTTAGAAATGTTTTGTGACTAGGAAAGAAAAAAACCCAAACAAACAAAAAACAAAACAAAACAAAACAAAAAAACCCCCAAAAAACAAATCGAAACAAAAACAAAAAAAAAAGAGGGTATTTTCTTGATGGTAAGTAGAGCTGTCAATTACAGTAAGTGAAGGTGGTGTCATTTCACCAGCTGAATTAATCTGCATCCATGTTGAATACAAATTTAGACTTGCATGGACCTTTAAGAACTTCTAAGAATCTTTTAAGAATATCTATAAACTCAAGCTATCAAAATAAGAAAAGAGTGGAAAATATTTGGGTTTTCTGCCTCTTTACCCCATGAAACAGACTCTCCTGTTCCTAATGAAATGCAAAGAGCCCTAAAAAAAATGAGTGGTGGGAGAATACATTCCTAAAGACCAAGAAAAATAAAACCCTGAAAGATATGTGCATTTCAGTGACAGAAACTAAAATGGGACCGAGATAATCTAACGTCTCTTCTTGATCCTGCTACTGATCAGCAAATCAATAAATGGATAGGAGCTGCTGTGTGCTGCTTCAGTTTACCTTCAGGAAATTTACTTTCTGGCTGATGTAGACTGGGGGCTCTACAGGATCCTCTGGTACATGGAATGTGGCACTTTGTGGATCTGATCCCAGCCCTTGGACACATTTGCAAATAAATAACAGCAACATTTGATTCTACAGCACTGCTTGGCAGAAAATGCATTTCTAAGAATGGAAATGGTGCAAAGGGCCCCCTTTTAATGCTTTTCCTATTAATACACAAACCTAGAGTAGTATTTCTGTCCTGGATCTGGTGCCATCTGAAATCTGGTTCTCCTCCCTGCATGTCATTCACTAATATCCAGAGTCACTGCTGAAGGGAAGGAAAATGGCAAATCAGAACCTGACTGGAACCAAACGTGTCCTTTGCCAGATTGAAGCCAAAATTTGCAATGCAAGTTTGAGATAAAAAGGATTTTTCTAGACATAAGTCTGTTTTGATGTCAGTGTAGGGACAGATTAAATAGAAGAGAGGAAGAAAGGGGAAAAGAGAGAATGTGTTTCTTAGCTCAGTTTTTCGTGTTCTTGCTTAATGCTCCTAAACAGACATGAAAAGATAAAGCACTGTGTTTACTTTTAAGCAACAAAACAAAAAAATCCCCACTCCCCACATCAACAATGTAATAATTTGTGGTCGTCAGGTTACAAACAGCAAATGTAAACTGCCCTGGCTTACATGTAAACAGCAAATTTTTGACCTGTACCTCTCCCTCAACACAAAACATTTTAATTACTTAAGCTTAGCTCTGTTTGTATACCAACCCTGGCATTTTTAGGGGGTTGTTCCTCTTAGTGTAAACACAACTAATTGCTATGCAAGGTAATATTCATCTGCTAACTGTAATATGCAGCTTAAATAAAGGGAAGGAAGAAGGAATTGTAATGAGAAACTCTGTCTAAGGCTGTTTTATGGTCATCTTAGCCCCTGTTGCTCAGAATCCATTCTGTGGTACTCTCAGACTTTGTCCAACTTGAGCTTTTTGGAGTTGAATTACAGCAAAGAGTTGGAGCTGGGTCAAAACCTGATCTGACTGGGGTTTTGCTGGTTTGGGGCTTGGGGAGTTTGTGGTTGTTTGTTAGTGTGTTTAGTTGTGGTGTTGGTTTTTCCCCTTAAACAGGAGCAAAACTGATTTACTGTTGAGAAGCCTTTTATTTTCTTTTTTTTTTTTTTAGCCTAAATAGAAAACTGACAACCTTGTGCCATTTCTGTACCAGGTTTGCAGATCGATTTGGTGCCCGAGCAGCTTTAATTCTCTCCTGTGCATCTGCAAGCTGCTTCTTCCTGCTCATGTCCTTCTCCACCAACATCCCCCTCCTCTTCCTCTCCAGGCTGCCAGGAGTGTTCATGCATGGGATACCAGGTAAGGTCAATCAGGGATGTGTAGCTTTCCAAATTGCTTTTCCTGCCTGATTCCCCCCGGTTCTGGCTTGTTTTAGGGGAAGCCAACAGGTCCAGCAGCATGAAGGAAGGCAGGAGGAGCATGGGATGGTCCTCAGGGGTGAAATGGTGGGAACATGAAGAAGCAGGTGGAAAGAAGTGCTCATTATTCTGAGTTCCAGGCCCATCTTCCTGTAGAATCTTGAGGGAATTGTTTGGCCTTGATCATCCAGGCCCAATGGGTGCAAATCACTTACTGGCAGCAGTGTTACCCCAGACTTTCCAGCTGCCTTCTTGCAACCAGGATATTTTACACAAAAGCTTTTCCCTTTCTCCTGGTAAAATGAGCATACTGATAAAAATTAAACATTATTACAAAAATACTTTCCATTACCCAGAACCAAGCTGTTCTGTTTTGGCTGATGTTCCCTATATTTTTCATGTGAAAGACATAAACTTCAGCTGCTAGAAGTCCATGTAACTCATGCAAGAGGAATCAGGTTGATAATGCATCCTGTCACTTGTGAAGGGGTTTGTTTGAATGGTTCTGTTTCTCATGGCTGCTGGGGCTGTTGTGTTCAAAACTGATGGACTATGGGGCTTCCAGAGGAGATTGACAGTGCTAATTTATGGGCCCTCTTCCACGGAAAGTATGAAAATTAAAAGCTGGTGAAATTGCCTCTAACCAGAAACCAGCCCAGAAAAGTTTTAATTGGAAAAAAAACCCCAAACAAACAAACAAACAAAAAAACCCCCAACCAACAACAACAACAAAAAACCAACCAAACAAAAAAACTCAAACAAACAAAACCCCAAAAAACTCTTAATGGCTTAGCAATAAAACCATGGGAACTGCTGGGTCATCTGCTCAAACCCTGTGGTTTGATATTTTTCCCCCCTGCAGGTGCTCAGAAGGTTATTACAGATGTGACTACTCCTTCCCAACGTGCTGGTGCTCTGGGGAAGCTGGGCTTTTGCTTTGGAGTGGGCATCATTACTGGCTCTGTCGTGGGAGGTGTTCTATCCACCAAATTCGGGTGAGTGATCCACTTGTTTGGTACTGAATTTGTTGCAATCACTGAGGGAGCTGCTAAGGGATATTCTGCTGCCCTGGAGCTTTTGATGCTGTCTTACTCCTGGTGGCAGTAGAGGACCATACCAGAACTCAACATTTTGCTTTCTGTGCTGCTACAAATACTCCCACTGTTTTCAAGGAGATCTTGTTGAAAATCTCACCTTCTACTTAAATACATTTAAAAACAAACTAGATTGAGAAGTGGATTTTGTCTTTCTGCTGATTGTCTTGTCTTTGGAGCTGAGTGTGCTGAAAGAGCTTTTAAGAAATGATATTGTACAACTGAGAAATGGAAATCAGGGGCAATGTGGAACTTGTGGAGAAAATTGTGTCTTTGGGGGATGCCCAGTATAGGGCAAGACTATGGGAAAGGTGAAGGCAAGCATGGGACAGTGCATGTGGCTGTAATCTCCTTGGAGGATTCCCCAGCATTGCTCTGGTGGGCAAAAAATGTCCCTGGTAGACATTCAGGTTTTTGTTTTGCTCTGCTTCTCTTTACTATGGATGCTTGCCTCTGCAGACTCAGGTTAAAATAACTCTATAGGATAGAGGGTAAAAATCACTCCCATCCTTGTCCCAGTGCCATAAGCTCTGTGAACTGGGTATGGCCATGCATCTCCTGGGTGTTTTGCACAGGGGATTGTGATGTGGGGTGTTGTGTGTTGCTCTCTGAATCCCACTGTGTGTTCAGGCACTGCAGAGATGCAATTTAGTGTGTGAAATCCTTTCACAGGTTGAGGAGAATGCTGTAACCTCAGGGAGCAGCCCTAAAACCTGTTGGCTGCTCTACCTTGGCAGCGTTGGCCAAGTGACACAAAACTGATCAGGAGGATTCGTTTTGTAGTTATTACATGGTTACATAAAATTAAAATTGGGGACATACATAATATTAACTGATCAGCATTTAAAGGTATTTATAGGTGTTGCTGGCTGAGTGCTGGTTTTAGTAAGTATTATTTTTAACCAAGTACAGTGATTGTAGACCTTTATGTGTTAATTGAAAGTAAAGGTTGCCTCAGTTCTCAGTTTTGGTTATATGTTCATATTTAAACATCAACATGGAAGCAGTGTTGCTATCTAGCAAAAATTTATGGGGTTTCACTTTCCAGTGTGTGCATCAGTCACAGGTTTATAGAAAAGAGGCAGGGGAGGGAATCTCCTGTATCATTTAATTAGTCAGGGACATTGACTGGAAGGCAGCCTAGCTTTTGCATGTCAGGTGCTGTCAGAGAACGGGAGGCTTCCAGACTCCTTGCTCACTTTGAAAGTTTCTGGACCTTAAACTTTGTGTTTGCAGCACAACGCTGAGAAAAGTGAACCTTGTCCGTAATTACGGGAGAGCGAGACAGCTGCCCATGGAAAAGGAGCTTGCAGCTCTCGCCTTTCCCGAGCAGGGCTGGTTGGTTTCCCTCGCACCCTGCGGAGGGCAGCTCCAGCCCGCTGCTCCTGCCCGGCACTCGGGCTGCTCTGCGGTCCCAAGGCAGGGCTGGGTTCAGCAGCACCTGCTCCTCTCCCTGAGCATCTCTGCATCCTCCTGGAAGGACGACAGGAATTTCTATTAGCACGGGATGAGCTGTGCCGTGCTGGCAGCGCCCTGATGTACGCGGAGGTTGATAGGATGTGATAAACAGCAGCTTCAGGCTTAGGAAGCCGCTCTGGGGGTTTGGTACCAAGATTCGCTGCAGCCAAACCCACTGTGCTTAGCTCCTCTGCCAGGTGTCAGTGCAGAGATTAGAGGAACAATCCACCGGGCTTTAGGTGTTTTGGTGCCGGTGGAGAGCAGGAATTCAGCCGAGAGCAGCTCGGCTCTGCCACGGACAGCCCCGAGCATCGCTGTGCCTGCCCGGGGAAGGAGCGGGTGCTGCCCTAGGGACATGCCCCAGGCTCCCTGGCCTTGCTGCTGTGCCCCACAGCCTGCTCATCCTCCTTCCCTCTTTCCCACATGTGTACAGGAAGGCTCCAGCTGCGTCATCACTTCTTCTCCACCACCCCCCCCCCCCCCCAGAAGAATGACCCAGTCACCTTCCATTGAAAAAGCATTTCTGCTGTGTCATGGAAGAGCAATGCTGGAGATTTCTGTCCACTCTGTGTTCTTTGCTTTCCCTCACCACAAAGCTGGCCAGCATTGCCCATGTGTTGTTGACAGCATTATTCACATGTTAGCAGTGCTTTGTATACAAGAGAGGGAGTAGAAATCACTCTCAGTTCCTCAGCTGATGTCATTTTAGTATTATTCTTCTGTATTGTATTTACCATTGATGTGTTTGACCTAAAGAACTGGTCTTTTATTGTTTTCTTTGTTGGAATAATATTTGTCAACTCTTATTTATTAAGGGAGCCCTGAGGAAGTTGAATGTCTTGTTCTGATTTGCATAGGATTTTTTGGATGTTAGTTCCTGACCTTTCCTAGTAAACTGTAACTGCCAGCTCCAGCCCTTCCTCTTCTTCTCTTTGAAGTGCCACATTTCCCCCTCCTGTTTTCCAAAACTTTGCTGGTCAGGCAAATTTCACCACCTGAGGATGAAGTATAAGCAAATTTGTTAACACAAGCAGTTGTAACCATTTAACCATTTGGAAAGTGTTTTTCTGTTTGCATGGTTTTTTTGGTTCTTGGGGAATGCAAACTCCCTAGCAGTTCATCCACCAAAGGGGACTAAGGAAAGGAGTTCTGTTTGCACTCTGCAGAGGTTCTCCCCGCTGTACACCTTCTGCAAAGCTGTTGTGGGGCACTGCAGGTGAGTGCACCCCTAAAGGGAGGCGATTTGGTGTTTGCAACAGACTTGTGTGGCAGCCCTCTGGGTGAAAGGTGGAAGTAGGCAGCTGGATTAGTTTTCAAAAGTGGAAAGATGAGTCTAGGTAGTTAATTACAGAGATTTCATCCTTTCTTCTGAGACTATGATTAATTACATCTGGCTGCTTTTTTCTTTCCTTCTAACAAGGCTGTAGAGAATCTCTGCTGCATCACCCAAGAATTGTTTGCTTTCTATGGACACGGAGAAGTTTCTTCATTTTAGTGCCTCAGCTGTAGGCTTAAATCTCCTGAAGCAATTATTCTTTTGATTACAGCAAGCTTTGGGGATAGTTTGTTGGGATTTTTTTTCCCCCTGGCTCTGCTATTATCCTTCTACCTCATGGGGAAAAGAAGGAGCTTGTTTGCCTGGAGTAGGGAATTGCTCTTTTTTTTTTTTTTTTTTTTTTTTTTTTCAAAAAACCCATTTGAACAAAGTTCTCTGGCAGGGAATTTCTCGTGGCAGAGTGGAAAAACTGTGGGTGTTGAAAGGACTGGAGGTTGGTAGCTGGGAAGGCGGGTGGGAGCACGGCAAAGGGTGAAAGGGTTGCGCTCCATTTCGGGACAAAGCAGGGCATTCTGCTTCCGGGAGCTGCTCCTGCTCCCTTCCAGCAAAATCTCTGATGTTTCTCTGCCTGGGATGATGCTGCCCAGCCAAGCAGCAAGGGCTGGTGACGTTTGTACAGGCATTGCTTTGTCCTTTGTGTCAGGGCATTTGGGAGAAAGGGAGGTGGGGTCTGCTTGCCAGCAGGCAAGTCATCCATAATCTGCAATGTGGTCTGTCACTGCTGGCTGAGCTCTGGCAGGAATGGGGACAGAAGAGGAAATGGGCTGCTTGTCAAGGAGCTGATGGCTTGGGAAAGGTGCAAATGCCCTCAGCTGTGGCCTTCTCTGAAAAAACAAAACAGAATCTAAGGGTTTTTTCTTATCACTTACTCTGCATGGCAGCTGTCTTAATTTGGAAGACATGGCCCCAAAGTTTATCTGTCAATTCTGTGATAGAGGATCATGGATATTATCCTTCAACAAGCTTGTTGCTTCAGAAGTCAGGTTTAGGGCACTTCTGTCCTCTAGTCCCAGCACCAGAATGTTCTAGTTCTGATAACTTCTTTAACCTATTCTTGAACCTAAGAAATGCCTCAGTGCACTTTGGGTGGAAATCATCTAACCTTAGACATCTGCAGGGGAGACAACTACACCTAAACTTGCTGTTCAGACTCTGTGGTTGACAGACAGAGAGGCACAGGTGGTTGTACAGCATCCTTTACCTCCTCATGAAGCAGTTCTGAAGCAGCTCAGGGAACCATCTGCTTCCTAAGCTTTTTCTTGCTTGACCCCCAAGTCCCAGGACACATTTCTGGCCATCAGCACACCATACCTGTGGCCAAGAACCTGTGGAGTTTGATGCTGGACTGTGAACTTACCAAAAGCCACCGGGATGCAGGTTCTCAGTTTTCTGTCTATGCTCCATTGATACAACAGGTCTGCACTGAGCTCTTCCCCAGCTCTTCCTTCCCACATCTAGGCCACCAATTTTTAAGTTTGGGTGCCCTGGCTTTCTGCCATGTACCCTATGGAAGATGGCACTGTCACTGCAAAGGTGCCCCTGTTCCCCCTTAGCCCATCCTCAGTGAACTTGTCTCTTCTGTGCTCTCCCTGGCCTGAGCTCCAGAGGAGGGAGGTGTGATGATGGAGCCAGAGCTCCTCCTTGGTCCTTCACCCGTAGGTGGGGCTCTTTCCCAAGGGAGGAAGAGTGGAGTTTAGGGCAGGAGCCGGCAGCCCGTGCCTTGTGGCTGCCCTCAGGGAGGGCTGGGCTTGGGTTGAGCTAATGGAGGGATGTTGGCAGCCCCTTCCTCAGCCTTATCAGGTGTGCTCTCCATTTTCCTCCAAAACCCTCGTTCCCACTCAGCCTTCTGCAGGGATTGTGTTGGGAGGGCAATGAGTGAGGCTGTGCCAGCTCACAGGGGATGGACACCTGCCCCTTTTCCCCATAGCACCCTCCTACCTCCTGAGCATCTTTAGAGGTTTGCTGCTTCATTTTCCCAAAGTAACCATGGTGAAAATGCATTTTAGAAAAAAAAAAATACCCAGAGCTTTCTCCTGTGACTGGTTTGTGCTGCTTACAGAGAGCTGAGGTTTAGAGGCTGCTGGAGATTGACTTGCACCAGAGCCAT